TAGTATATAATAATAATGATGAAAATATAGTTCAAATGCTTCCGCTTTGTCGAACAGTTGTTAAATGCTAATGCATTTAAAAAATGCGCGACAAAAGCGGACGCGGACTGTGTATGTAGCGTGTTCCCAATTATGCTATATTGAAATTCTTGAAGAGATTACGCGTTAGAAATGGTAATTACACATTAATATATTCTTGTATACAACTCATTATTACATTTTTACAATACTAATAACACGAATCGTAATATGGTAAGTAAGCCGTATCGCGTTTGGATTGTGAAGTTGTTCTCGAACAATAATACATTCAAAACTTCTTAGAAGCAGATAAATGAGTATCGGGATATAATCCAAACCTGCAGAATCTTTAAAGATCCTTGTTACTCTTCTATAAATCTGTCACTATTTTTAGTATCGATTGTTTTTTTGTTTAAATAAGCTTATTGGTTTCGTATTTATAGGTAGAGATAACTTGGAAAAACTTTAAATTACAACTAGGTAGTTCTGTTAACTGAGGAGCATATGAGTTATAATACGAGTAATTCCATTTATAAATGTATACATATTATGTAGAGGACAACTTTTAAAGAAAATCTTTTCAGTGTATTGTGACGATAACATAATGAAGGTAATTTGTAATTTTACAACTAATACTTTTGAAATTATAAGAAACTATCTTTTGGCCGAGGCTCCGCCCGCGTGTATGTCGGTTATCGCGGTAAAAAGTAGTATATAGCACTCAGGGATTATATGCCTATGTCCATGCCCACAACTAAAACTATCTCTATACCAAATTTCATCTAAATCGGATCAGCGGTTATTGATTCCCCATACAAACTTGTCTTTACACCGTTAAAGGATGATTTCTGGAATAAAAACTACAACTATCTATAGAGCGATCTAGAGAGATCTCTCAGCGGTTTAATCGTGAAGAGGTAACAGACAGACGGATAGATAAATAGACAGACAGACAGATAAACTTTCGCATTTATAATATTAGTATGGATTGAACATAATATGTACACATAGTATGTAACGTGTGATATCGACTTCTTTTATATAAAAAAAATATTTTTAATGGCATAAGGAGCAAGCGAACAGACAGGTCACCTGATAGATAGTGACTACGGACGCCGAAGGACATACAAAACTCAGCATCATCTTCAATTTAGAAGCTGTAAAAAGTAAGTTCACCGTAAGTAACATATAAAACAAAGATATGACTTTCTACTTCCATAGCGATAACCGCTATATGAATACAGGATGCACTAGTGTCAACTATGATCAGAATATATTAAAAAACACTTCCGCCGCAACTTCCAATGCTGTTATTATTGTACTATAAATAACATTTAAAAAATTAACAGAGTACCTATTATTTAGTATAGATATAGAAGAAGGATATATGCGACTTTTGTCGCGGCAATAAAGCTTAAAGGAGATAAATAGCGATTTTTACTTAATGTTAATTATACGCAGATACAAGCTATATGGGTGGTATATTATGGAATGAAGAATACAATACATTATAGCTCACTGAAGTCGCCGATTCTTTTATAAAAGATAATTAATTTAACTTCACATCAAATATTCCAAATATTCGAAACTACTCTGTTGTAAATATTGTTCGTAGTTCGTGCAAAACTTACAATGACAAAAACAGTCGAAACTCATTACTGAAATCTACAGTGCTTGGTGCAATAACCCAAAAAGTCTTACAACAGTAACAATAATAAGTTACAGTCCATTAGCCAAATAATTTTCTGTTATTGCCTATCATTAGTAGTTCAGTGTCTGGTAATCGGTGGCAGATGACACTAAACCAGTTAGTTTTTTATAATTTAGGCAGAAAACTGCCATACCCTCTACTGCTTCACCATTTCATAAGAACGATGGAAAAAGGAGCATCGTAAGAAATTGTTCAAAAGTGTTTTTTTTTTTTTATATGAACGGTCTTTATGTCAATTATGAGTAAAATAAGTGAATAATAAAAATCTTGTTTGTTTAACACAATTTTTACAGTGATCTCATAGCGTTAGTATATTACATAAGTGTGCAAATTGACGTTAAACTCTACATCCTTCGACCAAAAAAATAAGGTATGTTGTCTATGATTCAAATTCATCATCATCAGCAACAGCCTATAACAGTCCACTGCTGGACATAGGCCTCTCCTTAGAAAGGAGGTTTTGGCCTACTATACCACGCTGGCCAAACGGGTTGGTATAGGGTTTGTTTCAAGTTTTCCTGCTCTTAGCAGTGCTGTCGTCCTGCGTAGTTTGCTTCCTTAGTCGGCTCTTACGACACCCACGGGATGTATAGGGGTGGTGACATTCCGTATTCTTAATCCGTCACCACACGGACAATCTCTCTCTTAATTACCTGAGAATATTTATTTTTCTGTACAGTTTTAGAAAAGTATATTCATATTAAGGAGCGTTATTTACTGAAAAATGATGATTTAGTGTAAAAAAAAATGGATTTTGTTTTTCTTCGAAAACGTCTTTTTTCTGGGACACATTTCTTCTCATAAGTAGACACATTTGTTACCAATGTTCCTATGTGTTATCAATTTTGACACACATTTCTCTACCTGTTTTTCATATATGAAAACTTACGCAGATTACACAAAAACAATGTCATTACACTAAATAGATACAATAATATGACTCTCTGCTGTTCTACTAATCAGAAGGACACAGAGAATCAGATCAACTATCGCGATTAGTTTTCCAACTTAATCTGCCAACGTCTTCTATGTTGCCAGACAAAGTTAGGAGTTGCGCTTAATGTCATCAACCTGACGCAGCAACGTACTTGAAGACAAAGGCAGAGAAAAACGACAGTCAAGTGTGATTTTTAAAAGATAAACTTATTACATTTTTTAATTAACTTTTACAAAAAGCGGAGAGTGAATATTCCTATTTTGTGAAACATTCATAGTTAGCAGTTTTTATCTACTACCATTCAACAAAATAGCATGTTCACTTAAAAAAGATTTTATATAATTATTCATAAATACTATACTTTTTTGTGAATTTTGGGCAGTTATATCTAATCAGGTGTTTTTCTCGTAAAATCGAACCACAGTCAGTCATCTGTATCCTAAATGCGGTAACGATGATGCAAACGAAACACTCTGGCAACCTTGACTGGTAGATTCGGGGCCTCACTTTATGGTACGCCATTAACCGTGGCATATACTGAAATGTTACAGTAAACAACATTTTGATTTGAAGTTCTGATTTTCCATTACATAAACATTATAAATGTAATGTAAATATATATCAATGGCATTGATAAATATATAACTCATTCTTCAGAGTGACGTGTTATTTTCAATGTATAATACGAGTAATATTGTAAATGCGAAAGTAACTCTGTCTGTTACGCTTTCACGGCTGATCCGTTGAACGGATTTTAATTTAAGTTGGTATGGAGATACTTTAATTCTTGAGTAAGGACATATGCTACTTTTGCGAAAATGCGAAATTAAGAATAGTTGAAGTTTATATGTAGAATAAGTACAGAAAGCTTTAGTACAACATGTATTATAATTTTAAAAGATATACGATTGAAAGAACGTAGAAAGAACAAAGATGAAAAGATATATAAAAAGCTGTAGTGTATAAATGTTGACCTGTCATGGCAAGGGAAGTATTTACAATGACAGTTCAAGTTACACTAGTCAACGATATAAAACAAAACTTAAACTTAACGAGGGAGGATTTGTGCTGCTCAGCAAGTTTAATTTAAATGTTCACACTTAGTTGCCCGCAAACTCAACTAATTTACGTTCGAAAGAGTTAAATAAGAGAGCTCGTTTCAGTGATTTTTAGTTCCTACAAAACGAACCACGTAGAATAAAGCAGAATAGAATTTAAACTACAAAAAATCTGAAAAAAAAATACATCAAGTGAAAAAGTATAAAGGGAAGTCTCATCGCTGAGAGCAATTTCTTACAGGCAAATTTTGGATGGATAAATCGACCATAAATCGTTATAAATCTTGAGTAGTTTTGGTGTTGAAAGTTCTTATGTGCCTGATAAGTGTAGTTAAATTAGTGAGTACAACCTGAGAAGGATGAAGATGATTTATTAATACTTTATGACAGATATGTGCAACATATATTTTCCAATAAAAAAAGCAGATCTAACAGATACAACGGCCAGATGGACTCAGCATTTTTTTTTCAAATTACGAATTTTGAAAATCGGCTGATGTTGGGCGATGCCTCTTACGAATACTTTTTTTTCTAATTTCGTAACATGACTATAAGCGTCTAAGTCATTGGATTCAGTATTGTTTTAACTAATCTTTTCAGTTCTTTTATGTCAAATAATGTCATTGTTAATTTTCAAAACATGATTTTAAAAAACGTCAATCCCGAAATGTTTCAGCTGTTACGAAACGCTGGATTATGTGGACGTAAACATTGGGTATGTGGGTCGTATATGACGTTCAACGTAAATTATACACGTTCATTCGGTATTTTTCTTTCTTTTACTATTTGTTTACTTAGTTTTACAATGTTGCAATCACGTTTAAATCTAATGCAAAATTGGTAGGTTTAAATATTTTACCAGATAGGTACCACTTATCACAAGTCGCAGGTAGTCTATTAAAGAGTACTAATAATTTGTTGTAATATCATTACTTTTTATATTAAATAAGTTAACTCAATTAATAACGTAATAAATAAGCTACCTAAATTAAACATTTAGGATAATTATGTCAGTAGATGTATGAGCTACTCGAATAGCAAAATTACTGAAAGGTTACTTACAATTACCTAACTTTTAATATAGGTAATATTAAGTTAATAGTATAAATAAAGAAAGTGTTGTAGGCGTTTCCTAAGTATTGCACATCGGATACAGGAAAACTAATTAGAATTACTAATACATAAGCAAACTGCAACACCGACGAAAATCGATTACTTTGCATATAATAATTATTTTAAGGTGCTTTTAGAAGTTTTAATAAAAAAATGTATCTACCATCTTCTTTCCCCGGTTTGATGCACTGTAAGCACGACACAAACTTTTTCTTTTTCACTTTTTTAACATCATTTGGCTTTCCATTAGCCAAGTCTTTCTTCACATCTTTTTTCGTTTTGTTTTTTTGTTGTTTGACACCCATTTTGAATTTGGAAAGCGCGCGTTTTCCACGTGTTAACTTTTTAAATAACGGCGGCGAGGAACGCGTATCACAGATGCGCGTTCATAAACTAGTGCGGGACTAGCAACGCTAACTGCATACGCGTGAGGGCAACGAAACACTGGCAGCCGACAATGAGGCTCACTAATCAACACCCGACGCGCAGCACTAGCAGTCGGCAGTCTACGACAGAGGTGCGGCGCGTGAGCTCAGCCGCCAAAACGACCATCCCGATTGGGAATCAAGGCCAATTCGTGGATTAATATTCCGTGTGTGGCCATATCCTAAATCAAATGTTAATTTCATTAAATTAATATTTTGTTTGTGCAGCGCAAATGTGAAATTAGACAAACAGTTATGAAAGAGTATAAAATATTTTTCATAAGAGCACGTGATCGTGAAAGGGATTAAAACACTCTAGATAGCTAAAGGGCTTTCAAGTACCGGTCAGCGTAATGGAATGCGTTAAAAATAGATTTTAAGCGATTTTTCTAAAAGTACTGGTTCGAATGAATCTATGTTGGTAACAGAGAGTAATCAATAGTAATTTTCCGAGGTATATAATTATAGAGCGGCATATCAAGGGCCGCCATCTAGTCTAGATGTCGAAATGGTAGGAAGCGTGACTAGCGACTATTATGCGTAAGTTAATGTTATTATAAATCATCTCTATGAACAAGCTACATTAAAATTTTGTCACCTAAGTCGAGCTCAGTGTTGCGCCTGGTCGTAACTGGATATCAGTGCTTGTTGAACTGCTGTCTTCTGTCTGGGATAGGTAGGAGGAGTCAGAAGCTTTCGAGACGAAATTATAGCGGAGTTCAAAGTTGTAACTATTTTTCTTATTGTGATTCTTGGGGCACATCATTAATTAGGTTCATAAATATTCAAACGTCATAAAAGGTGTAATAAAATAGTTATCGCGCGATCTTTATAGGTGCAAGTCTATTACATTTCAAGACTACAACCGACTAAACGAAACTGATTATATTTAAAAAAAGTGCAATGAAAATTACGGCCCGTATTATGGATTTCGATCTTGTAGCACTTTTGTATTAAAAATATTTTGATAGTTATTCCTAATCTAACTTTTAAATGTGATTAAAGTCTAAGAAAATGGGCCAAATGCTTAGGATTATGAGCTATACAGACAGAGTATAAAGAAATCTGTAAAAAATATTGTCATAAATCTAGTCTACTTTTTTCGAATTCGTCGGCCAAGCAAATCACAATTTTTATATTTTATAAACAAACATTGCTTGCTAATACTTAGTATGACATGTGTAAGCTTACAACTAATACTGTTAGGTGACAAGTCTGACGGCCGTGAACAGGGTTGTCAGACGACTTTTATTTATTTATTCGCTTTACACTGGTATCCTCACTAAATATTATGTATTAATTATTGTGATCTCGATTGAGTATCTATTACTGCTGAGAGGAAGTCTAAATGCGGATATCAGCACCCACAACGCACAATTTTTCTCGTTTGTCGCCTGTAACCTATCGGGAGAGCAGAAGTATGACTTGTAGTAAGTAATTATTTTCTAGAAATATTCCCAATGCCGAGGGCGGTGTAATGTATATTTTTACAATGCTTATATTAAATGGAATCTTTCCATTCATTCCTTTTACAAGTTTCTTTTGTCGTTCCATTCCTTTAGCCAATTATCGCTTTGCACAATCATCCCTGCCGTTTAAGGATGCTTTTGCCTAGCTACGGCAGTATATGAAAGATGTCGTCAGAAATGCAAGTAGATTGTGGAATATTATGACAAAAAAATGTGAATCCTCTATTATATAGAGTGGAAGTGCTGCAAACTACATTTTAAACAAAATATCCTGAATGCGTTTTTAGTTTTGATACAGCCTTATACAACTACCATTTTTAGCCAATTTTTTTTCAGATCCGAAAATCAGGCATTCTACCTTTTTTTAAATAAGTTTTATTATTTATTGGAAATAAAGTGTTTGTTATGACTATTTCATGAGCTGTGTGTTATTCTTAAAATGAAGTGAGCTTTATTACTACAGTAAATACCTATAGGGACAGAATTTATTTCTCTGGATGGTAGCCCTAGCACGTCCCTGTAACCCGCGTTCAATATTAATTTTGCACCTCGATGTCTTTGAGTGCTCAGAGCTAGTAGGTGTTCAAACAAACCGTGTTTAAGCAAAAAATCCGTTTGTTTATGTTCGTATGACATAATGTTTACCTTAACACATATTTAAATGTTCATTTTCGAGGTTATGTTTTGAATGTATAATGACATGTTATTTTTTATTTTAATCAATTCCTATTATCGTTTATTACCTGTAATAATATTTCTATTAGCTCACCTAGTCATCCGAGATTTATTAGATATTGGTCTTAAAATGTTCTTGTAAGACAAAATGTCTTCTACAACTAAAGATGGGCAATAAGAACTAACAGACAGTCGGACACGAAAAACACAAATCATATAATATTTTTAATCTTTTTTTACATAAATAGACTTTATGGTGACATGATATCTATTAGTTCATACTTTGATAACTTTATAATGAAGCGATCGAATTGTTTCTAGAATTGTTGTTCATCGTCAAAATTGTGAATATTAAACGTCACATGACATAAATATTTATAAAAATTGGTTGAATTCATGTTGTTCATATTATTCATGCTATCCAATTAGTATGATATTCCAACATAATGTATATTTCTTCAGAAAAGCTGGTTTTAGCTTATAGTATTAAGAAGATAGTAAAAACTGTGACACTTTTATCAGATGACCACGACCTTAATAGCATAATATTAAAAAATAACGTAATCTATAGATTGAATTTATGACGTCACATTTTTTTTATGGAATAGGGGGCATACTAGCAGACGGGCCACCTGATGAAAAGCGACTACCGCCGCCCATGAACGCCTGCAACTCAGGAGTCACAAACGCGTTGCCGGCCTTTGAGGAAGGAGTACCCTCTTTTCTTGAAGGTTTGAAGGTCGTACTATTACTGATACCTACGTCATAGTTAAAGTGATTGACCAATGATTTTGGATTAAACTGGCCATTAATACCGGCCGGAAGTAAGCAATTCAGACAACATTTTTTATGACTGTTTCTAGGCCAGTGGTAAGCTATGGTCATTTGATATTTACCAAGCTATTATGTTAAAAATTATGGCAAAGAAACCGTTTGCGAAATCGTGATCCTTGAGAAGTGACAATTCTAACACGGGAAAAATATGCTAGACACTCTCGGAACAGAATTTATTTACACAGTTAATGCCTGAACTTGTAGCTTGAAATGATCATAAAATACGATAACGTAGCAGTGCGTTACTTTAAAACGGCTTGACCGATTCGGGTGATTATTTTTTGACCTTGTAATTATCAGAAGGTTCGCATGGAAATATGTATCTGGAAAATGAACGGAAAAGATTCGAACTTTGATCATATTGTAATATTACCTTTTAATGTAAAACTAAAACCTAACTACAAAAATATTGTGATATCGGTGTGTCAACGGCTTTAATGATTTTGATAATTTAATCTTGCATAGCATTTTTCTCGACAGTAAATGTTGGTCATAATTTTTCTTGTACCTTTTAATGTACATAATTTTTCTGTACGTGATTGAACTGCTCCTGAAGAGCGATTTTAATGACACTATAACTATAACTTTTTGTTAGTATTATTGAGTCCTTTGATAGAAAGCCGGCAACGCGTTTGTGACTCCTGAGTTGCAGACGTACATGGGCGGCGATAGTCACTTTCCATCAGGTGACCCGTCTGCCCGTCTGCCTGCTCTAACATAAAAAAAAAAAACAGTAACCAGGCCCGTTTGGTGGTTGCAGATTCGTTTCCCAGAGTAATTATTTATTTGCATTTCTGACATTCGATCTATTTTATTACAATAAAATAGAGTTTTGCTTTTGGTTGTACTCCTTTAAAGGATTTTACGAGTTATCTTGGGCCTTCGAGCCAAAAAAAATTAATGGCTGGATGCTCATCTGGTCCTTAAAATCATCGTATCTGTCCGATGACCACATACCTATCACACGATCGCAACAATCACAAGTTAGGTAAGCGTGGGCCTCGTTTCAATGCGAATTAGTCACGCAATTTAACTCTCATACTCTTATGGCGGCTTCCGCGGCTTTCAATGTCACGGTTATATACGGTGATTTGTGCCACAGTTATTACGTCATCATTGTGTACCTTCTATATATACAGTAACAGTATATTTATTTACGTATAATGTATATACTACATTTGTTCTAGCAAAGAATTTCAGGAACAGAATAATTGGCATTGTTATTGGCTAGCAATTAATGATCAGAAGATTTATGTACCTTTTATTGCTTGTGTGAGTGATATCACGGCTTCACAGATAACAGCTTCTAAGCAAAACCTTTTCACCCTGTGAATGAGGAGTGAGGTTACTGGAGGCTTAACCCCCCTCCCTCTCTGGGGGAGTGAGTGGGGGGGGAGGAGAAGCTCGCAAAGGGCGGCAAGGCACTTGTTTCACTTATCATCAGGTGATTTGTAGGCACCTTTGCAGTCTATTCCATAAAAAATCAACAGGTTTTAAGAACCTATACCATAGAAAAATAACTATTTCGTTGTTTCTGCAAAATTGAAAATCTAATAAATAAATTCCTGCAGCGTACAGGTATCCATATCCGCCACCATCAACACCCACGCACACAGTGCCCTCACATTGCACTCTCATTATCAGTGTTTGCAGATGTCACAAATATCCCACTTATCTGAAGACCAAAGAGGCTGCTAATCGGATACATAGGTCTACCTAGTGCATTTACTGGTGCGCTATTTATAGATGATACTATTACTAGGTCGTAGGTTTTGCGAAATACCCGAAATAAAAAAGGACATTGAGCAATTCACGAATAAGTTCATTTTGTTTTGACCCAATTTTTATAAATGTTTTGCAAACTAAAAACTCTTCTCAAAAGTATTTATAAACTGACTAATA